CCAGGTCTGGACTCGGTGGGCACCCTCGTATGAGAAACGCCCCACGATCCGCCATTTTTTATGATCCCCGTCAAGAACGGCGTTCTATCGTCCCCTTCGACGTTAAAAACCCCCTCGGATCGTAAACCGTCCGCCACGAAGAGCACGACGCGTTTTGCCGGCGGATTTTCCGTCGTTTTTATGGGGGTCATTCCATGATCCAGCGGGCTGCTGAAGTAGAGATCGAAGGCGGCCAATACCATTAGCAGGTGCACGATTAAACCGAGGATTGTGATTTTCACGTATTTTTTCTGGAACGTCCGTCTGCTTAGTTTTAACTCCATTTTGACGCGTTTGCTGCAAGAAAATATTCTTGTTTATTTTTTAGTTATGTTAATCAAAACACATGCATTTATGGGCATTAGGGTTATTGAAATGTTAAGCTCCATGTAGTGAAACCGCTACTTTCGAATTTGTTTAAAGAGCAATTCCACGTTACTCGGCTGTTTTTGTGAGTAAAAACTACCGTAATTATTAAGCTTAATCAAGCATAAAAAACATGTTTGCAATAGTAGCTATTCAAGTCAATTTATTATTATTACTGCTCTAAATTTGAGTATGTCCCTAAGGGGTCGTCCATAAAGTATGTCACACATAAAATGGTGTCAATTTGTGAACGTGTTTGTGCCTCTGTTCAATGAATGCTTTCCAAAAGTGCGGGTCATAACAAGAAAGAAAAAAATCTACAAACAAACAAAAGACATTCAACAATGTAAACATAATCTTGATATTCTATATACCATGAAAAGTTGGGATAATACCTTTAATCAAGCTTATCAAGGGGCCAAAAAACAATATGATAAATTATTAAGAGGTGCTAGATATTCGGAATATTCTAAAAAAAAAAATTCTAGAGTCTGATAATAAACCACAGACCATATGGAATATTGTAAAGGAAATCAAAGGTAACAAAACAAACCTTGATTTGCATATTCCCGATGATCCTTTAGAAGTAGCAAATGATATTAATTTTTTTATAAATAATGCAGCCATAAGGTTAGTAAACGAAATACCACTTGTAAATATTAACTGTGATATTAGCTATAACTTTAATTCAATGTTTGTGAAAGATGTGTCATATGTAGAGATTTTTAATATCATAACAAAGCTTAAAAATAAAACTAGCTGTGGGTTGGACGAAATTCCTCCTACAATTTTAAAATATTGTATGTCTGAGCTATGCTACCCTGTGTGTCATATTGTAAATAACTCGCTAAAATTTGGAATACAATTTACAAAAAAGGTGATGCTTCACTTATTGAAAACTATAGCCTATAGGCCTACTCGTATTAGCTTGCTATCAAGCTTTTCAAAAATATTTGAAATAGCTATGTGTAATAGATTAGTAGACTTTTTTAACCAGTATAATTTGTTTAACAAACATCAGCATAGGTACATAAGGGGCAGAACAACTAAAACTGCTATTTATGAATTTTTTTAGACCTAAGTAAGGCCTTTGATTGTTTAAACTATGACATATTGTTCCAAAAACTTGAAAAGTATTGCATTGAAATGGTTTCAATCATACTTATCGAACAGAAAGCAAAGAGTGCAAATTTGTATAAATAACCAAAAGTTTACTTCAGATGACCTTAATATATCCCTGGGAATTCCTCAGGGTAGCGTAATAGGTCCAATCTTATTTATTATATATGTGAATGATCTCTATATATGTCTACCTGCGAACTCTAGTCAATGTATTGTGAGCTATGCTGATGATACTAACATTTTAATAAAATAAATTAATTTTAAACGAAATAAAAACAAATTGTATCTTGTTTAAAACAATGTTGTCAAACCAATATAAAGACAATTACACTAAATAATACAATTATTAAAACGTCATATGACACTAAATTCCTTGGACTTGATCAACACCTAAACTGGTCAAAACATCTACAGAGCCTGGCTAGTAAATTAAATAATATTCACTACACAATCAAAGTAATAAAAAAATATGTTCCAACTATCAAGATGATGTATTACGCATATTTTGAATCTAGATTAAGGTATGACATAATATTTTGGGGACAATGCCCAACTGTTCAAGACTTATTCGTGATACAAAAAGCTGTGATAAGAACCATGTTTAATATGAATTTTAAATAATCTTGTAGAAATGTTTTTAAACAACAAAAAATTTTAACTGTGATTGGTCTTTATGTTTTTGAATTGTTAGTATTTATGTTTAGAAATAGGCATTTATTCTCTAATTTGTACATGTCTTCGCAACGTACCCAAAATCTAATATTTCCACGCCACCGTTTGAGTCAGTATGAGAAAGGTTGTTACTATGCATGTTTAAAATGTTTTAATCATTTGCCAAAATGTCTTCAGATTGAAACAAAATTGTCAATATTTAAAAAAAAGCTTAAAGATTTGTTAATAAATATAGAACCATATAGTTTAGAAGAATTTCAAAATAGATCAATGAATAATTGAATCAATTAAATTGATACAATTGTTAGTTTATCAATGCATTTATCCATAATTGTATATGTGTGTAACCTGTAAACAATTATTTGAAAATAAATTATTATTATTATTATTATTTTGTTTAGGGGTTTAAAATATAATATATAGTTTTTACTTTTAAGGGTTCAAAGTTGTGCCGAAAGTTACGCGAAACACATACTTGAAAACTAAAATAATCTAAAGCAAAGGATAAGCGAGATAAGAATAAAAAACGATAGTCAATCCCAATACATGGTCATCGGAATTTTTTTAAATTGCTAGGTTACTTTGGATGCATGGTTCATATTATAATATGTAAAATATTTGGTCGACTGAAATCCACTTCATTGTGACACTGTGTCAATTTTTTTCCTGTCATTATTTATAATTTTAAGGGAGACAGCACAAGTTTTTTCCCAGCGCTTTCCCGATCTCCCCTGGACTGCGTTGTAACGAAATTGAAGGTGTTCTTTAAGTTATTAGAACATCGATGTTTATTTTGTGTCTATAACAACCATTTTTAGATGTGAAATATAACGGATCAGAACACGCAGAGTTGAACAGTTTTTTTAAATTTAAACTCTTAATAACTCGAAAACTACTTGAACCCCTCTTATCTGCATATTTGTAAAATGATTCATTAAAAATTTATATAATTTTTGTATTTTATTAAGTAGTTAATGAATTAAAATGTATGTATACGCTAAAGAAGTATCGCTAGTAGCGCCACCAATCGGCTGATATCATCGTAACAAAAGTACCACTTTTAATAATCACCTGTCAAATGCTTATGTTACAAACGAGTGTTTTTGAGAATAAAGCCGGAAAATGTTAAAAAAATATCGGGAAAAAATCCGTGGCTGTATTGGTGGTTGTATTTCGAGAGGAAATCCTGGGTTGAGTTTTTACCGGTTTTCCAATAAACAGTGTTAATCTGAATGAAGAAATAAATTGCATACAGTAGTGATTAACTTGAAAAGGGTAAACATTTCAATCCAGTAAAAATCGTCAAACAAATAAGTCGTCTAAATTTAAACAGCATTTAGCATTATTAAAAGTGTTGATTAAGAAAGTCTCCTCTCAACGGTAGAATAGCATTTATATTATGTTGCCATGAATTCGTAGGTATATTTTGTTGTTTAAAATGCAGTTGTCGGCGTTTTTTAGAGAACTCAAATATAAAAATGGTTGATTTTAAGGTTATGTTTATGCAAAAATTATTTTTTACTGTCTTAAAAATGTCCCAACTTAAATATAAATTATATTAGGTAAAGTTATCATTAGTTAATTCTGCACCAACAAAAATGTACTTACCGAATTGGATCCTTTGGCAAAACATGAAAATGCAACGATTCAGTACTTGAATTTTATTTACAATTAAAAACACAATAATTCACCATGATCCCTCAGATAAAATACACACACTAACGTAACTATATAAGCATTTAAGCGTTGAGTTTCTTAATCAATGATATAAGGAATAATCAAAAAGTACTAAAAAAGTTTTTTAACTTTTTTCTTGCAACGTAAAACACAAATAACTTGCGCGATTTAGCTGTGCAATTGAACAATTTGTCGAGTAAGACTTCTGCCTTCCCCTCTTTTGTGAAAAAACTAGATATTTATTTAAAAATGATGTATAATCTGTGCTTTAAATGTATTGTTGACAATTCTTAAATTCACGCAATGCTATCGAAGCCCACCAGATGGCGCGCGCGTTGCGAAATACTTCTTTAGTGTATAATAAAAAACATTTTTCTGACAAAAAATCAAAAACATTAAACATAAACAAACAACATTTTTATTTTGCAAATTAGGCATATGCCAGAAATAAGGTATGCAAGGTTTAGGTAATAAATTAACAATTTTAACTTCTGATAAGGTCAGTAAACAAACATATTAACTTAGATATTAGGTAATTAATTAACAAAAAAAACAATTTTATTAAAACCTAATAATTATAATTAGGTAGGTAGGTACTTATTGCTTTGAAGACAAATTATTTCGTAATCCCTATATTATAATAAAACTTATTTTACCTATTGAGTTAGCATTTAACAAAAACCAGTCGTGATATGATAAAGCAATTCTGAGGTCAAATTCGGATTCAGCAACTCAAAAAAAAGTTATTTGGTAACTTTATACTACAAACATTGAGTAAATGCTACAAAGAATTATGATTTTAACATTGGAATGTTGGTTACATTTTGTAGGTATATGTAATAAATTAAATAGATAAATAAAACATACAAATTTGAAAACAAATAGGTTTTAAATGTCAAATCGTTTTTAAGTTGAGAAATATTTGACTAATTTATAAACACGTCTACTTTCATTGATACATGCGCTAGAAATCTGTAATCGAAACGTGCTTACTTTTAACTATCGCCCGTAGATGGCAGCATGTGCCCCAAGTATGGATTTTTACAAGCAAACAACAAACTAATAATCATCACTTATATCTACGTTAAATAGCATTATTATAAGCTAAAAATATCAAACATTACCTTATTTTAACTATGCCATTTGATGAGGATTTTATTATGGGGTGTTGTCATTAAAAAAGTGACTTTTCTATTAACGTTACATAACCTAATTTCACTACTTCACCGCCACACAAACTTGACGTTTGTGAATCACTGTTTTCTAGATTGGTGGATAGATAACTAAAATTGTGTTAATTGCAGTTTTCTTGGGTTTGAATTGGGGGTGAAAATTTTAAAGAAAGTGTTGTTTATGTAAAAGGAATCTATATTGAAGCAAAAGCAATATTTTGAATAATTAAAAAAAACTATACCTATCTTATCTACCTAAGTAGATTTGGGATCAGGTTTTAGTTCGCTTTATTTATTGCTTGCTTAAATCGCGAATATGATTTTTTTATTGTTCTCGTATCAATCCATCAGCGACGACATGATTTACAATCAATTACAAATCGCAGTGAGGGTTGCCATAATCCGAATTTACAGTTTTCCTCGCGGAATTTATGGCATAGAAAATAAATGCGGTAAAAGACCGTCGTCATAACTTCGACATTGTAGCGTTCGGGACCAAAACCAGCGTGAAGTTCGGTTCGGTAATTGCGTTTGTTTTAATTATCGACGCTCGATCACGATTGTCGTGCTTTTCGTAAATTACGTGATCCGGACAATTATTGCATATTCTAATTGTGGCCGGCGCAATTGTCTGAAATAGGTACTCCAGGAAAATTTAGTTGTTTCTGTTGCAACTTGCAATGTCAACAACTTTTGATTCAAATTTCACATAATTAGGTACCTACCTTTTAAAAATTAGGTAATGTAGAGCAAGTACAATGGTGGACACGGAATTTTGAAATACCGTTTTTAATAAAAATAAAATACCTAATAAAAAAAATTAAGTTTTTACCTTAATCCGCAATTTTTAAAGTGTCGAAAAAAAACTGTATAAATTGGTGGAAAACGGTTTCTTCCGCTTTTTTTTCAAAATTGTCTTTTTTTGAAAAAAATTGTAAATATTTTACATTATTTTAATTACGCAAAAATTGTAAAAATTGGGGGAAAACGGTTTTTTCCGTTTTTTTTCCCAAGCCTTGGAATTTTTTTTTTTTTGAAAAAATTGTATATAGGACCTATATTATAGGTATTTTACATTATTTTAATTAGTTAACAAAAAATCCTTTATTAAATTTACCTTAATCCGCAATTTTTAAAGTGTTGAAAAAAAAACTGTAAAAATTGGTGGAAAACGGTTTCTTCCGCTTTTTTTTTAAATTGTCTTTTTTTGGAAAAAATTGTAAATATTTTACATTATTTTAATTACGCAAAAAATGTAAAAATTGGGGGAAAACGGTTTTTTTCCGTTTTTTTCCCAAGCCTTGGAATTTTTTTTTTTTGAAAAAATTGTATATAGGACCTATATTATAGGTATTTTACATTATTTTAATTAGGTAGCAAAAAATCATTTATTAAATTTACCTTAATCCGCAATTTTTTCCCAAAATTTATAGATTGACTTTGTTCTTAAAGTGTCGAAAAAAAACTGTAAAAATTGGGGAAAACGGTTTTTTCCGTTTTTTTCCCAACCCTTGAAAAAATTTGTATATATTTTACAATATTTTAATTAGGTAAAATTTTTAGATTGACGGTGCTTTTAAAGTGTCAAAAAAACTGTAAAAATTGGGGAAAAACGGGTTTTTCCGTTTTTTCCCAAGTCTTGAAAAAATTGTAATTTTTTGGAAAAAATTGTATATATTTTACATTATTTTAATTGGGTAACAAAAAAATCCTTTATTAAATTTACCTTAATCCGCAATTTTTTCCCAAAATTTTTAGATTGACGGTGCTTTTAAAGTGTCGAAAAAAAACTGTAAAAATTGGGGAAAAACGGTTTTTTCCACTTTTTTCCCAAACCTTGGAATAATTGTCTTTTTTTGGAAAAAATTGGATATATTTTACATTATTTTAATTAGGTAAAATTTTTAGATTGACGGTGCTTTTAAAGTGTTAAAAAAAACTGTAAAAATTGGGGGAAAAACGGTTTTTTCCGTTTTTTTCCCAAGCCTTGGAAAAATTGTCTTTTTTGGAAAAAATTGTATAAATTTTACATTATTTTAATTAGGTAAAATTTTTAGATTGAAGGTGCTTTTAAAGTGTCAAAAAAAACTGTAAAAATTTGGGAAAAAACGGTTTTTTTTCGTTTTTTTCCCAAGCCTTGGAAAATTTGTCTTTTTTTGGAAAAAATTGTATATATTTTACATTATTTTAATTGGGTAACAAAAAAATCCTTTATTAAATTTACCTTAATCTGCAATTTTTTCCCAAAATTTTTAGATTGACGGTGCTTTTAAAAAAAACTGTAAAACGGTTTTTTCCGTTTTTTTCCCAAGCCTTGGAAAAATTGTCTTTTTTGGAAAAAATTGTATAAATTTTACATTATTTTAATTAGGTAAAATTTTTAGATTGAAGGTGCTTTTAAAGTGTCAAAAAAACTGTAAAAATTGGGGGAAAAAACGGTTTTTTTCCGTTTTTTTTTCCCAAGCCTTGGAAAAATTGTCTTTTTTTGGAAAAAATTTTATATATTTTACATTATTTTAATTGGGTAACAAAAAAATCCTTTATTAAATTTACCTTAATCCGCAATTTTTTTCCAAAAACGGTTTTTTCCGCTTTTTTCCCAAACCTTGGAAAAATTGTCTTTTTTTTGGAAAAAATTGGATATATTTTACATTATTTTAATTAGGTAAAATTTTTAGATTGACGGTGCTTTTAAAGTGTCAAAAAAAACTGTAAAAATTGGGGAAAAAACGGTTTTTTTTCGTTTTTTTCCCAAGCCTTGGAAAATTTGTCTTTTTTTGGAAAAAATTGTATATATTTTACATTATTTTAATTAGGTGAAAAAAAAATCCTTTATTACAGAATCAAAAACCAATATAAAACAAACAAAAGTGTTTTTTTAGTGGCTTAAACGGATTAGGGGTAGGAACGGACCGCGGGCTTACAGTCCCCTCCGAAGGCCTAATACATAATAGGACAAACACAAATAAACATCCATACCAATGTGGGACTCGAACCCACGACCTAATAAAACTAAACATTGAATTAAATTTAATTTATTTAAGAAAATAAACGTAAACGTTAAATATACTGTCGGTTGGGTCCTTTTTGCAAAAATATTCATTGAAATTATTCAATTAAAAAATATATGATTGAATTATTAAGTTAAATTACAAAATTATAATTTTATGAATCGATGTGCATTAGCGCGATTTTTTTTCGATAAAATTTTTTTTTATAAATAAAGTAAAAAAATTGTGCCGCCACTGGTTGTTCCTGACCTATGACAACTCACGCAAAATATGCTTGCAGGTAGGCAATAATCAACATTTATTAAAAATTTACATTAGTGTTATCATTGATTACTTACTCAGTGAATTTTTCTAAAAAATTTCCAAATTTTTTCGCCAGCTCAATTTTTCCGGAAATTTTGAAACCCTAACTGTGCTATACATATGTTTGGTAAAAAAAAATTAAAACTATATCAAACTACATAAAATCTTTGTTGTAATTTTATTTTAATTATTGTTTATGTAAATAAAACAATAAATAAAATAATCCTTATTTTAACGAATGATACCGGCATTTAAGTTAACTTTATTACAGCAATAATAATCCAAGTGACAGTGCTATTTGTAATTCTCTAGCAGCAGATAAATCATCATTTTATTATTAGATTATCTTTTATGAGAACAAAATTTGAAAAGATCTCGTTATGGAAACCTTGATGGAAACACGCTTTTGTCCCATTCTCTGATCCCTGTTTCTTCGCTCACTACTTTAGATTGTTTTAATTTATGGTTTCATTCTTCATGTTGAAATATTTTCTTATTATAAATTATTAATCAAGATCTTTTAATCTGATCTGAAAAACTATACGCTGTAATTATGCGCTTAGGAGCGGTTACTGAAATTTGTTAGTTTTTTTTTTGGAAATTTAGTTTTCAAAAACAAATCAACAGTTTTTTATTAATATTTAACAGTGATAAGTAAAATATATCGATAATATAATATTATTAATATTTTTGTTCTAAATATTGATAATTTGTCAAAAAATTAAAATTGCAATTTTGTAGTACTTGTAATTCTCTACAAAATTGTCTTAAACAAATTATTTGGACTATTAATAGTAAAAAAGTTATATACTCATTGCTGATCAAATCAAATTCTACAAAACTCGTAAACAACTTTATTGGTTAATTTTTACTTAATAAGTAAAAATGATCTATTTTATTCCTTAAATATTTAAATGGTTTAGATTATTGCATAAAAGCTTAAAAGTCCAATACAATGTGCGTAGAAAGAATGATAAATAGCAGGTAGGTAGAATTATTGACTTTAGAAATAAATATGTTATTTTTATTACCAAAACCCGAATGTCTCCGAACAATTAAAATGAAGCATTCAAATGGGCATTACTATTTTCCTTGGTGCGAAATATTAATATTTTTAAAATTTAAAACGCTTGTGTATGGTAAAAATAAACTTTTTTTTTAAATTCTTTCCACCGCCCCAAAGCCATCTTAAATATAAAAATTATAATATTCAGACGGAGGTGGAAAAAAAAATTTCGAGACCAGATTTTATTTTTAGCATAATTCAATTTTACAAAATACTTTGAAATAATAAAGTATTATGTCTTACCTTAAAACGTTTTTTAAATTTTTCGAATTTAAATATTAGCAACGAAAATATGATTTTTTTTCTAAAAGAGTACATTTAAGGCTTTTTTTGTAGGCAATACTCTTAGTCTTTTTAGATAGGATGGTGAAAGATTGTTCCTTAAATAACTTTGAACAAGCGACAATCAACAAACTTCCATTATTTTCAGAGGGCCCAAGTAAAGACCACTTTTTCAAAATAACATTTCCCCAGGAATTTTTTTCGAATTTAGATTCTTGGTGATTTTGGTTTTATCTGAAACTTAAATTTGACAACTGAATCACAATCAGAAGGTCAAAATTATAAAGAAAACATGTCACGAACGTAAATATCGGTTCAGGTTTAGTTTTCGCAAATTTTCACCAAAATGTCATTTTAAAAATCATATTCCAATTCGAAAAATTTGAAAACTTTTTCAAGGTAAGACATAATACTTTAATATTTCAAAG